AGTGAGACTACACCATGCCTCACTGTAGCTTTCCACCTGGTTTCAGACACACCACTGTGTCATTAAAACCTTTAGATGGACACAAATCAATGCTCTGCTGCTTAATGATGCTTCAGGCCTCTGAATGACAATTTGTTGGTATCCCCAGGATAGTCAATTAGACCAGGTTTCAACAGCAGCACAGCCCAGTGGATCGGTTATCAAAAGGAAAGAGCATCACATCAATCCATCTGCTCCTTAAAAATTTGAAACATCGATCAATGTGAAACCCTGGTATCTTAGAAGATAGTTGAAGGCTTTATTACGAATCAGAACTGAAGCAGTAAATATGTTGCTGTCCATCTCTTGGGTCCATCAAATGAGTCAACATCAGTGAAGGACCGGCTGTCCAGTAAAAGGGGACAGTCTTCTCAAAAGGTCTTTTCTAACAGTTTAAGGGTTCTGTCCTTCCCATACGAAAACATGAGCTGCTCTACTGCAACATTTAGACAAAGTGTTTAGAGAATGAAAAAAAGGATGGTTCCCTTCAGATACTTTGAAACTGATGCAAATTTTCTCCCCATCTTCAGTTCATCACTGATCTTACACAGCGGATCTGAATGCATTATTGACTGCACTGTCACTAGTCCGGATGATATGGGATCTTTGTAGTTTTTTGTGCTACTGTCAAATGGCAAAACGTTTGATGCCATGCTTCAGTCCTTTAATCCTGGGCACCATCAAACCTTGTTACAATGTACTGCTATATAAAATGATGCAATTTTGTTTTTCTGAGCCATTAGAAACTAAAGGAATTAAACGTCATTGCTTAAAGGTCCAGTGTGTAATATTTAGGAGAATCTATTGACAGAAATGCAATATAAGATCCATACCTATGTTTTCAGTGGTGTGTAAAGACCTTACATAATGAATAGTTGTGTTTTTATTACCTTAGAATGAGCCAGTTATATCTACATAACCGCGTGTACCCCCTTCCATGGACGTCGCAATATTTCTACAATAGCCCAAAACGAACAAACTGCACTACAGAGCACGTTTCGTCTCTACGTTCTTCTTCTTCTTCTTCTTCTTGTAGAATTCTGGCAGTGTACACACTCATCACTACATTGAATACGTATGTTCGAAGAAGAAGTAATAATATACAGCAGGGGCTGGCAAATAAGTTTTGCATCGGAGCAATTTTTAATCCATTAGATGGTGGGGGAGAATATATATTTTAGATAAATAATATGGTGTTCAGTTAGCTCAGTTGGGAATGCTGAAGTCTCTCACCTAGAAAGTTGTGTGTTCGATCCCATGTTGGGAGAATATTTTTTTTTTTAGTGCTGGGCAATATACTGCTATACACAAAAGTGGTTTGTAAACACTTTAAATAAATAAGGTGCTTTTTACCAGCAGTATTCCCTTTTCAAAGCAGCAATAAAATATTTCTTGTAAATCTCAACTTAAACATTAATGTAATCAAAGCAAATATTAAACCAAAGCTGTTTGCCACTGCCAGGGCCTTAGCTTTTATCTAGCTTGTTAAAACAAGTTACCATCAGAGTCCAGAGCCACAATCATAACATCATAGTAGGCACCTTCTGAGCATTAACATATATAAATCTAAATGTTTGTGAGTTTCCAGAATCTATTACTGTTTACTAAATAGGACATCAACAGGAGGGAATTCACATGGCAGAGCATCCCCGCAAAACTAGATGTAGGCCTATCAGGTAAAGTTATGTATTTAACTTAAATTAAATAGGCTACAGCTGTGTAGCGCACAGAAGCCGTTGCCATGGTTACTATCCATAGAGCGCCTGCCGTTCTTGCCGGACTTTCTAAATTATAATAATAAAAATAAAAACTGCATTAATGTGCAATAAAATAATTGTTGGCGTTAATTAATGAATACGTTAACACGATAATAACGCGATAATAACACCTTAACGTGCCCAGCCCTAGTACTTTTTACTCCACTACATTAATTTGACAACTAAAGTTCCAAGTTACTTAACAAATATGTTTGTTATAGATGAAACTACTAAGGATACAAAGTAGGTGAAATTAGCTGCACCTGGCCCAGCTACGATATTACAGGATAGGTTTGCGCTTTCCCTTCTGTTTTAAAATAAGTTTCACATGCCCATATTTGCACAGAGTTGCAAGAGTTGTCGGCCGCTGCAAGTTCACATACTGGCTGTGAAAAGATCCTGCTGTTTAAGAGATTAAGGTCAAAATACTCAGCAAAGTTCAGCCAAAGCTCCTATGAGGGTTCAGCAGTTAGTCAGATCAAGTGAGATTCTTCCAATGTTACAATATTTTTACTACCAAATTCCTTTGTGTTGCTGTCCATCCACTGCAGCTCAGCAAGGAAACATTGTCCGAGGCAACAAGAGTTTTATGCCGAAAAGACTCAGTTTACAGACTTAGTTTTACACTGGAGTTGTGTTACATTAAAGATACATATTTTACATTTTTTATTAGGTTCTTTCTTAAGCAAACAGCAAATCATAAATTAACTTTACTTCATTTATTTGTTTCTGGAATCAGAAGGTTGTTGGTTCGATCTGCATGTTGAAGTATCCTTGAGGAAGATACTGAAGCCCAAATTGCTCCCAGGGGCCCTGCCATCAGTGTGTGTGAATGTGACATGCATTCTAAGCGATTTGCGTGGTCGGAAGACTACAAAGGCGATACACAAGTATAGACCATTTACCATCTTGGAAAATCTTTAGTCTTTCAAAACCTTTGATTTGTAGGAATTCAGAGGAACATGTTCTTCCTCCTCCATGCTGATCTCTAATGTGACACACCTCTGCCTCTGTAGTAGCTGACAGGCCACTGGCAGCAGTGGAGACGAGCGAAACCGTTTTGGAGGAATCAATCTAAATGTATAATGATTGATAACAAATGATTGGTCACATTTCTATATAATAAAGACACAGGGACTCTGTGGACTAATAATTGTATTTAAATAAAATTGGATTTTACCAATGCAAAGATGTTAGAAACAATACTTCTCCAGTTCAATTCCAAATGCTATCCAGTGCTCACTTTTTTAATCGCCATTGCATCTTGAACTTTTATGCATTGATGCAAATTGGTGAGTCTTGCCATCTGTAGTAGGTAGTTACTACTCTATTTCAATGATTGAATTTTCTTAAAGCTTGAAATTTGTGACCGGGATGGAAATTAAATACTGTCACAATACTTGAGAACTGACCATAATGTCCGTTTAACAGTGTGTCTGAAACTAGTACTGGCTCTAATGGTTGTTCAGGTTTGTATTCTTCAGTCTTTACACTATATTTTATTTATTGCATTTTATCTTAAAGAACTGGTTCTGGTTTGATGTCAATTAGCATTTGAGAAGGGGTTTTTTTTGTTGTCGTTGAATTAAAAATGTTGAAAATCATACTTATAACCGTAAAATTAGGGGATCCCAAAAAAATATGGTTTTGGTACTGTGTCAGCACAGCTGCAAATGTTCACGACGCCCCCACCCTTCTTCTTGTAATTTCACTCTCTGAAATTACAAAATGGAGGACAATGTCAGTTGTCAGTTCAAAGAAATAAACCACAAACATGAAAAATTGCTGCTGTTGGCTAAATGTTTTCCTCGCCGTAGCAGGAAATATTAGAGCGTGTGACGTGAAGGGGGCTCAGTCACATGTGGAACGGGGGGGGGGGGGGGGGGGGTCTCTGCTGCACGTCTGTCTGCTTGTTCTCAGCTTAGCTGTTACGCCACCGCTGCCTCCAGCCATCACACCTGCCTGTGTGTCTCGATGCACAGATGATAACAAGCTGTACACATATTATTCCTTTATAAACCCTTGTCCTTAGAAGGCCCTTTCACGTTAACACAAGGACAGAGTGTGTGTGTTTGTGTGATGTGTTGAGCTATTTTATTTGTGTTTTCCCATATGTTGTGCAATTTCTCTTGTATAAGAAGGATTTGCCAAGATGATAGATAATTGAGGTGAGGTGACCTGTGGCACTGTAATTAAAAATTAAAAGGTTAACTTCCCAGCCAGAAGTCTAATTGAACACTTGCTACATCTCTTCTCGTGTGATTGCTCAGATTTGATAATTAGACTACAATTTCTCATAGGCTTCACTAAGGCTTTCTCTATTTTTTAACCAAGGAATTGGTATTTGTTGTTGTTACATAACCAAAAGCGATATAATAAACAGCTATCTGCCAGTGGGTCCATTTATTTCGGCTGTGTTGCCATGTTTGCTCATCAGTGAATATACTGTATGATCGTAGGCCCTGGCCTAACACAACCGGGTTTAACACTGTTTAGTTTGGTCCCGATTGATGGAAGAAGCCACTGATCCAGTCTCAAGGGGTCACTGAAGGCATATTTCAGCTTGTATATCCCAACTGTTTTCTCAGCTTGAGGTTTAGGAATAATACAGTGTACTCACATGCACATACACACAGATGTACACCCCAGTTAACCAGTTAATTTTAGCACCAGAGCATGACCACTCTGAAGCTGAATTTGGTTAAATGTTTACTGAAATACAGATCACTGTGTGGATAACTCTGAACTTCCAGTGAAAATGCCAGATAAATTATTGCAAACCTCTTAAGTGATGAGGGAAGACTTAGTTAGCTGATCGCCAGCTGTTTGATGCTTGTTCTTGTTTAATTTTTATTGGGATTGTGGATTAATTTAATCCATAAATTCCTCTCTAGTATTATTTGCTAACATTACCGGCAGACAGACTGCAGTATGGTTCCTTTGTCCATCTTTCACATTATCGTTCAACTATTATTCGTCATAGTTTTTGTTATTAAATGTTCATTTGATTTAGTTTTGGACTCAGTTTTCAACTCCGAAAAAAATCCAGATTAATGCCAGAGTTAACACGGGTACACACGCACACACGCAAAACACGCCCATTAGTGACATGTCTTATGCATTCATCGCTGCAGAACAAGTTGAAAGATTATGTTACTGACTGTGATATGTGACGGTGGATGTTTCTCATTGTGTGTTGTTCAGAAAGCGGACGACAGAGAGAAGAGGCAGGAAGCCCACCGTTTCCATTTCGATGCCATGTGAAGGGAACTGCACCATGGGAGAGAACATCTTCTCCTGTACTCCTCCGCCTACCCCTCACCCCTCCTTCCTGCTTCACACACACACACCTACACACACATTTTCACTCAAGACTAATTTCAAGGGCCAATAAATGGATCCTCATCTGCCCCAAAACATTTCTTTTTGATATTTTCCAGTCCTCCAGTCAGATGTGAAATATTTATGTTCCATTTCCTTTATTCATTCCAGTGTTAGAAGTACAGGAGCTGCAACAAGGCTATGGAGACACCGAGATAAATCCCTAACGGAGATCACTCACTCTGTTTAAAGCAGGGATTTCTTTGGACAGGCTGTAGTGAACAGAGTGATCATCCGTGGTGTTATGAGAGTATTATTTTGACAAAATGACACAGATTTCTGTTGAAATGCCCAACAAATTACTCAATATACAATATTATAAGCTGTTTGTTTATTCACTGGAAGGGTTATGTGTATTGTTACTTGAAATCTGTTAGTGTGTTACTGTCCCTTGTCTTTGTTTTGTTGATTCCCCTGTTTTTTTCACTTGACTGAGATATTGTAAAGAAATCCGTCTGATTTTATTACCTGTGAAATTAAACTAAATTTCATTCTGTGTGTGTGTATATATATATATATATATATATATATATATATATATATAGAATATGCCTTGTAATTGCAGCAGTGACTGGTGCAAAGTGAACAAAAATGGACACAATATGATTCTGTGGATGGAACATTTTTCTGCTACCAATCCCACCAAAAGTGATGAATGGCCTTCAGGTCTGCAGAGTGCAAATTCATCTTTTTCCCAGTTGATCGTGTCACAGTGCATCATGGGAGTGCCAAAAATAAGAGTTTCTGTGTTGCATCCTGCAAATTTCTAAAGCTACTACATCAAGGCTCAGTGAATAGTCTAAAAAACGGTTTGTCCTGCTGAATAAGACACGCTCCTATATACTCCAACACTCCAGCTGGTTTCGGGATGTAGTTATAATTTTTGTTGTCTTTTTAAAATCGTGCCAGGCACTCTGGTATGTTCAGACACTTTTTACAAGAATGAGCTCATGCCTTTCCAAGTGGTTTGCACTTTTAAAGTAATGATTAATTGCGCATGTATGTAATTTATTTTGTTTTGTGGATTTGCAAATGAATGTTCCAGCAAACTAAATGTGTTTACTTACTGAGGTTGAGAATAAAGGTTTATCCTGCTTAAATCCACTCTGGGTTGCTTAATTTGTGTATTATTAGACTTCATGTCTTTTTCATATTGCACTCTCCTTAAAGCTGCTGGTGAAGTAGACACACATTAGATCCCAAACCCATAATTCACCGCTCGTATGAATTCCTCCCCTGAAATTCCTTTCTAAGAACATCTTTTGTTTGTTTTGTTGCAGGGAAGCTAGAGGGAAAATTACATTCAAAATAATCATCTTTGTATGTCCTCATTATCTAAATTTGTAGTGAGTGAAGCAGTAGTGAAATTAAACTGCCTTTAATTTTCCAGAGGACCCCTGGAGGCTCCTTTCAGCACCCCTCTGGGACCACTTCAGGAGCCACCCTGCTAAATAATGCATGGAGAGAGTACATCTTCCCAGCATGGCAAATGGGGAGGGGGAGGGGTAGTGGGGTGGGGACAAATATACACAATTGATTGTCAATAGCTGTGTGTGTGTGTGTGTGTGTGTGTGTGTGTCTCCATAACGTGAATCGTTCAATTTTAGGGTGAAGAGTTGGTTTAAGGTTAAGTCTAGGGTAAGTATCCAGAGAATTAATGTAAGTCTATGTAATGTCCCTGAAAGTGATGGGAACACGACTGCCCGTGTTTCCTGGGAGAGAGAGAGAGAGAGAATTAAAGCAAGGAGGAGGTGGTGCACGCCACAGGCTGTGTTAAGCTTGACAGAGAGAGACAGACCAGAACCGGAAACTAGGTGATTTATCCTTAAAAAATAAAAGCATGGACCCTAAAGAAAGCTAGGAAACAGTATTGAGACGCACAGAAGAGTTTAGTCACTGAACTTCAGTCATAACTAAAACTTACAATATACATGTGGATCAGAGACTGCTTTCTTGATATGCTAAATCAAAGTGGCAAGTATCTAGCCTGTAAGCTATGTTCTCTAAACATTAAATGTAGACATTAATATAAATGAAACCAAAAGTGATGACAGCAGTGTTCACTAGAGCTGCAGCGATTAATCATATAATCTGTTACGGTAGTTGTCAGCTATTAAAGTATTTTGATAATCGATAAATCAATTTGAGGCATTTTATTGAAGAAAAATTATCTGATTCCAGCTTATTTTATGGTTTTATTACTCCTTCATGACAGTACTGAATATGTTTGGGTTGTGGACAAAACAAGACATTTGAGGAAGTCATCTTGGGCTTTGGGATTTTTCACAATTATTGGACATTTTATAGACTAAACAACTAACTGATTAATCGAGAAAATAATCGACAGTGAAAACAATCGTTAGTTGCAGCACTAGTGTACATTTAATTATATTAGACATCCTTTAGTTTAGGGATATTGGTTTATATTCCGAGGTGCCAGTCAGTCAACTTCTTTCAATACATTTCAGAAGAATTCACAAAGAAAAGCTTAACTTCCTGCCAATTTGAAAATTAAAATAGTTGAGTTTTCATAACGTTGGTAGTGAGCTATTCTATTTTTTTGGAAGAGCCACTGACCACTAGACCCCTATAGCAAAATCAAGAACAAGACTGAGGCCTTTTTTCATCACGTAACTGAGCTACAGTGTAGCTAGCACTTCATGGGCAAAATCCGTCCGTCATTAACCGCTTATCCTGCGTACAGGAGACACTCACACCTAAGGAGAATTTTAGAGACACCAATTAACCTAGCCTGCATGTCTTTGGACGGTGGGAGGAAGCCAGAGCACCGGGGGAGAACCCACGCAAACTCCACCCAGAAAGACCGGGGCAACCGGGGTTTGAACCCACGCCGTTCTTGCAGTGAGGCTACAGTGCTAACCACTGCACCACCGCGCCACCCTCATGGGCGAAATATGTCTGTATTTTACTTTCTTAATTAAGAGCAGAACTATCTAGTCTTCCCTTTATGCATTAGCCTGTTGAACCTGTCCATGTTTCGCCAGCATTATTAACAAGTTATATTTAGATAATAAATAAAATAACAATTAACTAATAACAAGACAAGATGTAAATAGAAACATTGTTTCACTAGTGCCTTTCTTTGAATGCCTTTATTCTGTCTTTTCACTCAATTTTTGTAATTTTTTGCTGCAACCGTTTACAGTCTATGATTGCAACAACTTTACCAGTGAGGTTTTAGTTAGAAGGACATGACCGGAAAAAGCGATGTGCTCATTGTGTCTACCTTGACGATGCTCATGACAAGCCACTCATTGGTGTAAGCAGCGCCCACGGCTTAAATGAGCCTCGTTCAGGAGCATTTCTTAGTTCAGACACGGACGGGGAGCAGACAGAGACGGTCTCTCCTCCTCCTCCTTAATCTTCCTCCATCTCTCTTTTTTCTCTCTCTGTCTCTCTCTGTCTCTCTCCGTCCATCACCCATCCATTTGCGTCTTTTGGATACTTAGCTCTCCTAGAGCGCTTTACTCTGCCTGGATCAGTCCATCCTCCACATGTCATCTCCACTGTGGTCCCACTGGAGGCTGTATATACAGTAATGATGCCTGGCTGAAGGGCTCGCAGCAGTGCTCATCTTCCAGCCAAACGCAGCGGGGTCGCCGACTGAAGAAGAGCTTTACTTCTTGAGGCTTGGCTCTGCGTAATGGATTTACTGTAGTCAGAGAAAAGTTGGATTTTGTAAAAAAAAAAAAAAAAAAAACCAGTGGACCCCTACAATGGACAGAATAGGAGGGCGTTTTTAGAAAGGTGCTGTTGGGTTGGAATCACACCGTGAGAGGAAATGCACAGAGGTGAGTTGGATACGAGCTGCCCGACCATCCCTGATGCGTCCATGAAGGTCCAGTGCCTTAGGCAAAAAGAATTGACAGTTTATTTTAAGACTGGATTAAATGTATTTTACTTTTTCTCATTCTAGCACAGTGTGTGTTTTTATCTGCGTGTGAAGCAAATAGGGTAGCATTAAATAACAAAATACTCACTATGGATCACTTTCAGAGCAGGTGAAAATGCCCTCATTATTTTTAAGGTTTTATTTCTCTTAAAATGATACAGCTAAAGCAATTAAATGCAAGCTGACTAATCTCTCTATTTGTGTCTAGTCTATTTGTCTTTAGTATCAACTTGCCCTCTTGTGACCGTTAATGACAAATAGTCCTGTTTTATTGCCCACATCCCTGATCGACATCGCCATTAACCACTGATTTATAATCGACCAATTCCAGTCCCATCATCTGTTGGTCTGCTTCCCATTGTCTAAGATTCAGCAAAAGCCAGACAGGTAGTTTGGTTAAGTCTGGTTGGTTCGAACCGTCCAGCGCCCAGTCAATTTAAAAATAAAAAAATAACTAAAATAGAAACGTTTCGTTAATCATCTGTTGGTTCTGGGCATTTCATAAAATAAAATGTATTATTTTACTCAAATGCTCCTACTTGCTGAACCAGAACCCCAGAGGTTTTCCTGGCAGGAGCCAGTTTGGGCACTGCGAGGTGTGCCTCCGTCCATACCAGCTTACGTGAGTGCAATATGATTGTGATTCATGATTAGAAGCAAAGGACAAATAGCCACCTATCTGAAATCCATAGCCTACAGGGGCTGAAAACAACCTGGAGCAGAGAGCATTAGGCCTAAGTGCTTCCAATAAGCGGACAGTTTAACTGTCCAAATGTATCTCACTGACATTCAAACATCTTGTCTGTCACAAAGAGTCTACTATATTCTCCACAGGAATGTGGCCACAAAAAGAAGCGAGTTTGGAGGTTTTAGTGGCAAATATGTGCCATATTTTTAAAAAACACCCTAAAACCATTTGTGTGAATAAAATATACTGCAGCTACTATTACTTAACACTACTTAGTACTATGCTAATAAATATACCATATCTCCTCCGTGGCGAACGAAACTCTCAAAAGTTCAGACCCAGACGCTGACGTCCGTTCACTTGATAGCCTGTGCGCGCGCTGCAGCTCAAGCGACTCCAGCTCCAGCCACCGTCTCGCGCCATCAACACCTGAGGCGCGCGCCGCGGCACACGGCTGCAAAATCTCTCGATGCGTTCAGTGAAGCGTTCCTGATGCTTTGGTGCTGGGAGCTTGCTGCAGTAGCTATGTGGTCAAACAGGTAAACTGTTGAGAGTTAATAGATGTTCCGTTTAGCTTAATTCCTATATTGTCTAATTAGGTATCAAGTGGCCACAGCTTACCTTTAGGCTTGTGAAACAGGTCTACCACAAAATGCGTCATTTTTTATTTTAACTGTAACAGACCATAACAATCTATGGACTTTACTGTACCTCCACCTTTGTGTTGCCTTACCTCATTAAGTATTAGCTTACTAATTATAGGTCTGTTGTTTGTTAGCCTATTTCCTTGAAATGTAGCCTATGTCATAGAGACCACCTTATTAAGGCAATGGTTCCGCTCTTATATCATTTCCAATCCGTCTGCAGGCCCTTGCAACAGAAGGTTTTGTTGGCCTCTGCTTTTTTTTTTGCGGGGGAATGTGTTGTCAGTTTCGTTCGAGAGAGAAAAAAACAGATTACGGCTTTAACTTTGCTTGTAAAGAGAAGTGAGAAGTGATGTAAAAATGAAATGACATGACCTAGAATCGGCTGAACCCGCGGTAATTTTTCCTCTCCTTCTTTAAAATGAACAGAGGTCAGATAAAACGCATATCAGAGGGATATCACGATGCCTTCAAATGCCAGAAGTATTTCCTCAAGGAACTTAGCTTCACATGAATGAACCAACTTGCAGTAAGCTGCATGTTGACGCTCTTTATAGTGGACTTAGTGAATAATAGATAGTAAGAGTGGTGCATTTTGTAAGATAGCCTATTGATTCTCTATAAACTGTTTCTATTCACAGATAATCATTTATCACCCTTTTTTCACACGTTTTGAAGTGACAATGGCTGCAGCTTTGTTACACTTGTGATGATAATGTTACAGAAGATGTTACAAATGCCTACACAAGTTATGCAACTTTTGCCTAATAAGTTCATTTAAATATGCATTAATGTTGCCACTGCTACTCTTTGGTTCATGACTGGTAAAACAACCCTTGCCAAAAACAATGTTTCGTAC